AGGAAGGTTAAAGAAATTGTTTTCCATTTAACAAACTTCTCTTCAAATGAGTAGCTATGACAGTTTACTTAACTGCTCTTATAAAACAGATCGTTCTAATTTAAGGAAGAAATAAAAAAAATGTGAAAATGAAATTATACACCTAGAAAACAAGTTATAATAATGACTTCATTTATATCCAAATAGTTTCACTCCAAACTATATTTCTTAAATCCTATGCTTCAGCTACAACACAATTATAATTTAGCAATAATACTCCTAATTTAGTCATTTTAAGAAATGATTAAGTTGCCCCCTTTTCAATCTGACAGAAATACAAATTTTAAGTTTATCACCTTTTGCAAGGCTTATTGGGAATTTTCTTTACCCAATATTTCTATTATGCTTCAAAATATATAAAGATTAACCATTTGTTGAAAACTGGAAATACATATTGCTAAGAAGAAATGACTGGGGGTAGTTTTAAATGTTCACCTGCCAGAGACAACTCAAATACAGGAGTATTTTTTATATAGTTTCTACTGCTTTTGTTCACTTAGGAAATGAAGTGTCTATCACAGAAACTCTTTATCTCTTATAGATGTGGGATTTTTTAAAAGGCATATAAGGAAAAATAAGAGTATGTGCAAAGAGGAATTCAAGGAAATTCTTAAGTTTACTCACCTGGAGTCAACAGGGCCAACTGTTGTAAGCATTATCTTTATAGATCTGAGGAAATAGAGAGTGTGAATGATTGTAACATTTGTATAATTTACTGCCACCATGCTCCTTCCATGGCCTTTTTTTTCATGCTGTTGGTGAAGATTAGGGTAGAATTATGGTTACTGGGAATGCAGAAAATAGTTGCAAGAATTGTTGTTCATTCAACAAAAAAAGTCAGCATATACCATTTTTTTTAAAAAAGCTACATTTTAAATAGTTATGAGTATTTTTTGAAAATGAACACCAAAAATTAATTTAGTAGATGCAGGTAAACTAAATTCTTCACAGTGTTGTTGGTTGGTTGGTTGGTTGGTTGGTTGGTCGGTCAGTGGTCCTGGGATTGAACCCCAGGATTGCTTTACCACTGAGCTACATCCCCAGCATTTTTTATTTTTTATTTTGAGACAAGGACTCACTATGGGAGGGGTGGGTCTCACTAAATATCTGAGGCCGGCCTCAAACTTGCAATTGTCCTGCCTTAGCCTCCGAAATTGCTGAGATTATAGATGTGCTCTACCACTCCTGGAACAAATAATGTTACTTAACTGTAAAGTTTACATAAAGAATCGGTACATATTATATTAAATATTATCGAATATATTTATCTGAAATGTCTCATGCAAAATCTGGGTATTTTTATAACTAGTTAAGAGACTATGGATTTAAAAGGTTCTTAATCAGTCACATCTTTTTTTATTGATTGTTCAAAACATTACAAAGCTCTTTGACATATCATATTTCATACATTTGATTCGAGTGGGTTATGAACTCCCATTTTTACCCCGTATACAGATTGCAGAATCACATCGGTTACACATCCACGTTTTTACATATTGCCATACTAGTGACTGTTGTATTCTGCTATCTTTCCTATCCTCTACTATCCCCCCTCCCCTCCCCTCCCATCTTCTCTCTCTACCCCATCTACTATAATTCATTTCTCTCCCTTGATTTTTTTCCCTTTCCCCTCACAACCTCTTATATGTAATTTTGTATAACAATGAGGGTCTCCTTCCATTTCCATGCAATTTCCCTTCTCTCTCCCTTTCCCTCCCACCTCTCGTCCCTGTTTAATGTTAATCTTTTTCTCATGCTCTTCCTCCCTGCTCTGTTTTTAGTTGTTCTCCTTATATCTAAGAAGACATCTGACATTTGTTTTTTAGGGATTGGCTAGCTTCACTTAGCATAATCTGCTCTAATGCCATCCATTTCCCTGCAAATTCCATGATTTTGTCATTTTTTAGTGCTGAATAATACTCCATTGTGTATAAATGCCACATTTTTTAATCCATTCATCTATTGAAGGGCATCTAAGTTGGTTCCACAGTCTAGTTATTGTGAATTATGCTGCTATGAACATCAATGTATCAGTATCCCTATAGTACGCTCTTTTCTTTATATTACATTTTCAGTCAATACAGTGTTAGAATATTTCTAATCACAAATGTTCTTAAGAACAATTTCAAAATAGAGAAAAATTTAATTTTTGAATTTAAATATTAATTAAGAAAGCTATTTCCCTTTCTAAAATCAAAAGACAACAACAACAACAAAAAAAAACTACTTGCTCAATTACTAGCTTACCTTCCTTCAGCTCTCTTGAATCACAAGTAGTATCCATTGTTGTATCTTCAGAGTGTTTGTTCAACTGTCTTCTACTTTTTATAATTAGCAGTTAATTGATGATATCTAGTAACAAAGAGAATTCCAACATTCATAAATTTCAATTCAAATCATATCATTATCAAGTCAAAATTTTTCCTAGTCTATCACATATTTCCTCAAGCTTCCTTGCAAGCCTACCCTATTGACAGACACCATTTTTTCCCATGCACTCCCATTCTCTGACATTTCTTCTCTTTCTGCTATCACGAATATAATTTTTAAGAGCCACAAAGTAGAAAAAAAAAGATTTCCTGTAATACTTGATGCATTCATTTGCTAGGGCTATCACAACAAAACACCAATCTGGATGGGTGGCTCAAACAGGAATTTATTTTTTCACAGTTCTCTAGCCTGGACATTCATAATTAAGGTGCTGGTGGTGCTATTTCCTTTGAGGGCCATAAGGGTATGATCTGTCCCAGGCCTCTCATTGGCAACTTTTATTAAATGTAGATGCCTGTCATCTTGCTTCTCCTCACATAAGTTGTCCCTCTGTCCTTAACTCCTCTTCTTAAGACACAAATCAGATTGGATTAGGGTCCAGCCTACTAGCCTTAAATTGATCACCTCTTCAAAGGCCCATGTCCAAAAAAGTCACAGCCTGAGGTACTGGGGTTAGTGCTTTAATATTAATTTTGAGGATGCATAATTCAGTAGATTGTTAACAAAGTGAGGATTTAGGTTTAACAAATTAACTTGGTCAGGGACTAAACACATCCAGTAAAGAATACTTTTCCTCTACTCCCCCAAAATGTTCATTTTAGTCATTTAATAATAGGCTTATAGTTTCAGAATTTCAGTGCCAGGAAAGAAGAGGTATATGAGTTCAATCTAACTTTAAAATAATTATCATTCTCGCATCTGAGACAGTTTCATTTATTTTTTTAAAACTACATGAGAAAGACTGTCTAGGCTTCCACTCTTACTAAGCCATAGAACCTATAAAGCAGGGAGGAGAGCTAACAAATGGTGCTAAAAAGTGGAGGTCATGTGTTTAAGTATGCTAGATAGGCAACAGCTACTCAAGCAATAAAATCACAACTGTGGAAAACTTAGTTAAAATGAGAAAAAAAGGACAGGGGAAATTAGATTGTAGCTTAAAAAAGTCATTTGCAGCTTTTATTAAATGCTGAGGGTACCACATCCTAAAGTTAATCCTTAGTCATTATTAGTTACCTCTCTTCCCTTTTACTTCTTCAAAGAAAAAAAAAAATATATATATATATATAAGTAATATATTTCTCAGAATTTCAACACTGGAAATATGAAAACAACACTGACAGAGTAAAAATTTCCTAGTAAACATGCTTCTATTTATTCTTAAATTAATGATGGAA